TAAGTTTACAAATGCAAGATAATATAGTCAAGATTGATTATAATTGTCAATAAAATAATTGTATAGGTATGGTTGAAACCAAATACGGGACATAAGGGAGAACAAATAAAAATTAGGGCATAAAATATTAAATATATACTTATATTGTTTGAGGAGATTTCGACATTAGGATTTGTGGTTAAGTTCTATTAAGACTTTAATATTAGAATTAGATTAATGGTGTAATTATAATTCTATATTAGACGTTAATATTAGAATTAGACTAACGGTGAATTAACGGTATTTAATGGAAAAGTTAAATGGACAATCATATAATAAAGGATAAATTAGAAAAACATTAAAAAAAATTAAAACCTGAACAATTTGAACCATTCATTTGATTTAATAATTTGACGGTACCCAATGTTAATAATTAAATAAATTCGTTGGTCAAATCCGCTAACTACTGAATGTCAAACAAGGACATTGCAAGGTAGTTCTCACTTCAATTTGTTGTGTGATTTGAATACTCTCTTTGTCACAAAATCTCTCAAGTAGTTAATATGGTTGGCTTTATTAATTATATTTTTTTTTAATTTTTTCATGGTATTAATAAAATACTTGGTAAATAAATATATAGCATTATTTTGTATTATAACTTTGATATTTAATTAGAAAAATAGTGCACAAAAAAGATAATAGACAATGTAGTGAATATAATCAATTGATGAATTTGAATGTAAAAATTTTTACATTTGAGAAAAATAAAGACAATATAACTAATAATGAAAATATTTCTCTTAATTAATTTATTGATAATGAATAATTTTTTTTCACTGAATTAAGACATTGTAAGGAAAATGTAGCGAATATAATCAATTAATAAATTTGAATATAAAGAATTTTTATATTGTAGAAAAATAAAGACAATATAACTAATACAATTATTTCTCTTATTTAATTTATTGATAATGAATAATTTTTTTTTTTTGAATAAAGGCATTGTGGACACATAATTCTAAATTAAAGAAATGCATATCTATAATTTTTTGTTGTAGCTACTAAATTATTATTTATATAATTTAATAAGAGTAAAATAAAGTACTAATTATGCCAACTTTGATTGGGATGAGGTTCGAACCTAAGACCTTTTTTTTTTTTATTGAAATCAATGAGTAAGTTAACGGTGAACTAACGGCAATTCTTAAAATTTTAATGGAATTAGTAATGGTGTGTGGGTATTTTAGGAAATTTTAGTGTAAAATTTAAATCTTATCAATCTTTTAATCAATCTGAGCCATTCATTTGATGAAAATCTGTGACCGCCATTTTTTCTACCCATTATAGGCCTAACTTTCTTGGGCTCTTATTAGTATATATATATATATATATATATATATATATATATATATATATATATATATATATATATATATATATATATATATATATATATATATATATATATATATATATATATATATATATATATATATGCGGAGGTTGTGTACAAGTGAAACATGCGGTGTGATGAAAGCTATTGATCTTGTCAAAATCAACGTCCAGAATGAACACAAATAAAAAATAAATAAATAAAAAAACGCGGTGGTAATTTGATCTTTTTACATATTGGTCAAACTTAAGGTGCGTAATTTTTGTGCTTAAGGTGCGTCGTGTTCCTTTTTAAGGTGCGTGATTTATGTTCTTAAGGTGCATCAGTTATTCAATTGAAAACTTAAGGTGCGTTTTTTGTTTAAACTTAAGGTGTGTTATTATAAACCTTAAGGTGCGTCTTTTCATAGCTAAAGTGCGTTATTTTAACACTTAACACGTGACATTTTAACATTTAAGGTATGTCAGTTATAAATTTAAGGTGCATAAGTTTTTCACTTAAGTCGTGTGATTTTAACACTTAATTAAGGTGCGTGATTTTACTACTTAAAGTACGTCATTTTAAAAATTGAAGGCGCACGATCGATGTTAAGACTTAAGGTGTGTCATTTTAATAGTGCGTCATTATAACATTTAAGATGCGTCTTTGTAACACTTAAGGTGCGTCACTTTTACACTTTGCTTCTTCCTTCCAGGACGCGCGTTTAAAAAAAAAAAATCAAAAAGATTTGACCTGAGAGCTCCTTCGCACCTGATCTCTCTCTCTTCTCTCTCTCTCTCTCTCACATATATATATATATATATATATATATATATATATATATATATATATATAAGCATATTCAATAATATTGCATTTAATGTCACTTTTACACTTTGCTTCTTCTTTTTGTTTTCAAAAAAATGTCAACATCTTTTTTTTTTTTGAAAGCCAAGGAAATCAGATCGCATTAAACTGTAGACGAAACAAAGGGAGGAAGATAGTCCCTCCAGACAGAGCGAGTGTCAATTGCACTACTATGTTTTGCTAAGGCATGAGCTACCGAATTGACATCTCTGCGTACAAATTTAACGGAGCAAGAATGAAAAGAACGAAACAATTGCAAACAGGAATCTAAAATAACGCCTAAGTACGAACGATAAATACTCGAATCGCGAAAGCTAGAAACCACGACCGCACAGTCGGAGAAAACCACAACATTATGAAAATTGTGATCTTGTAGCCAAGATAAAGCTTCTCGTATAGCCATTGCTTCAACTAGTAGGGGATCATACAGGCATAAAAGTGGTCCGTTAGCAGCCGTCACGAAGCCACCCTGAGCATTACAAACATAAAAACCATACGACGGGGTTGTGCCGTGAAACCCGGCATCGGTGAAGCAGTGGACCACACCGTTCGGCAGTGGATTTAATGTCAACATCTGAATTTTTAATTTTTTATTTTTAAATTACACATGCCTTGGCAAATTTGCTCAGCGGAACAAATGCGATGTATTGGAATTGGAGTTGCACATGCAGCTTTGGAATTGGCAGTATAATTAAGTTATCTTCCAACATTATACTTTGTGCACGTTATTCTTGCAATTCTTATGCGTCTTGGAACAAAACTATCGCCCAAAATAATTAAAGCTGTCCTTAGCTTGCTATGATTTCTGATGGAATCTTAGCTGATTTGGGTTAGGCCAACTGGAAAAGATGATGGGCGAAGAATTTGCTAATTTTGAGTCATTGAGGTAAGTTGAATTTTAGGAGAAAAATAAAATGAAAAATGAAAATGAACATACCCATTTGTCCTTTATTTATCCTTGTGTATTCAATCATGACTTTTGTAAAATTTTAAAGACTTTTAAAATGATACAGAGTATATTTTAATAAATTTGTAATTACTTTCATAAAGTCGTTTTAAACTTTTGTACATTTTGCAAGAATTTATAAAAATTTATATTAATAACATTCATAAACTTTTTTTTTTAATTTTACAGAGGTCATCAAAATTTTAAATTGAATATACCCTTACAAACTTCCAATAACTTTATTTGATTCTTATTATTTATAATTTTCTTACAAACAATAATATTATAAAATATATATATATATATATATATATATATATATATATATATATATATATATATATATATATCATAAAATTCTTCTTCTAGTTCTTCCTCTACAGTAACATTCTCAACTTTATTATTTATATATTGATAGTATGATAAGACATTATATGCCAATCACTTATATCTACTATATATATATATATATATATATATATATATATATATATATATATATATATATATATACTAATAAGAGCCCAAGAGAGTTAGACCTATAATGGGTAGAAAAAATGTCGGTCAAATTTTTTAATCAAATGAATGGCTCAGATTGATCAGATTTTAATTTTTCCTTAAGATTTCCTAATTTATCCTTAATGAATATGATTATCCGTTAACTTTTTCGTTAAATATTATCTTTTCCGTTAGTTTCTGTTAGTTCACCGTTAACTTATTCATTGATTTCAATTTTAATAAGAAAGGTCTTAGGTTCGAACCTCATCCCAATCAAAGTTGGCATAATGAGTACTATATTTTACTCTTATTAAATTAAATGATAATTTAGTAGCTACAAGAAAAAAATAATACTTATGAATTTCTTTAATTTAGAATTATGTGTCTACAATGTCTTTATTCAAAAAAAAAATTATTCATTATCGATAAATTAAATAAAAGAAATAATTTCATTAGTTATATTGTCTTTATTTTTTTTCCAATATAAAAATTCTTATATTCAAATTCATCAATTGATTATATTCGCTACATTGTCCCTACAATGTCTTTATTAAAAAAAATATGCATTATCAATAAATTAATTAAGAGAAATAATTTTATTAGTTATATTGTCTTTATTTTTCTCCAATATAAAAATTCTTTACATTTAAATTTATCAATTGAGATATTGCCCAATATCGTTAAATACAAAAACATTTCGGTCTTTTTTTATATAAAGCAGGTTGACCCGCTATGTTTTTTATGTTTATTTTTATTTTTTTTAAAATCTAGAATTGAAGACCAAAATATCCTTGTATTTAACGATATTTTTTTTATGTTGATTTGATTTGTAATTAAAATTACTCCGTATATGAATTTATAAATTAACGCGAATACAATAAATGCTTTTACACTTTTGAGAAAACATTTTGTTTTAATATATATATAGAGATAGAGATAGAGATAGAGATAAAGATAAAGGATAAAGATAGAGATTAATCATTTTACTTTTATATATATATATATATATATATATATATATATATATATAGAGATAGAGAAACATTAAAAGTAAAATTTGCCACCTAAGTCCTAACAAAGTAAAACTTGAAATTTGCCATAAATAGATAGAATATATTTTAAATAGGAATAACAATGCCAAAAGATGTTAATTTGATTTGGGTAAGGGGTAATTGACCAATCCGCTATTACGTAGGAGAATAGCTTCCCTGTGATTTCGACAGCAAGCACGCAGTTGTCGCAGTGTATGACCTTAACAGAAATCCTTAAGCAACTGTAAATCCAACTCTCTCTCTCTCTCTCTCCCCCCCCCCCCCCCCCCCTCTCTCTCTCTCCCCCCGCTTTACATAACGTCTCTAGTCTTCATCTGATTTCGCATTTCCCTACTTATTATTGCTTTCAATTTTCTCGTCTCGTACGGCCGTAGATCACACGGAAAGCGAACAAAAGTTGTACGATAATAAAATGTTGTTCTTGATCACGATGTCCACAGCATATGTTGTGCTGCTAGGTTTTTATTTTCCTTTTGTTTGATTCATGCAGGCACGGATTTCATTAAGGAGGTGAAGAAGAAGAAGTGAATCCATGGCGGTTGAAGAGCGCGCTCCGTCTAGGCTTGAGGTATGCTATTGGTCATATGGACTTTAATTATATTAATTAAACAGTTTAAACTTGATTTGATTAAGCAAACCGTACGTGTTATAATGCATTGCTCCCAAAAGGGAATGCCCAACTCCAAGGCCCCACGCCCTAGCCCGACAGAGCATATGGGATTATGTAAATCATGATAACTCAGCTCAACACCTGGGCCCGACGGAGCATCTGAGAGGATGTAAATCACTCAGCTCAACACCCGGGTCCCACAGAGCATCTGAGGATGTAAATCATGATAACTCAGCTCAACACATAAGCTACACGAGCTCCCTAGGTTGCTCTCACACTGCAGCTGTTGAGACATCCCGGGTCATTGTTCTCACACTTTAGACCAACATGGGCATACTGCATTATCTAATTGGCTACTGTTTTCTGCAATTATTTATTTATGCAACATGTTATTGTTATTGTTATGCAGGGGAAGTATATTGCAGTGGTAGTGTGTTGGCTTCTGGGGAATGGGTGCCTCTTTTCTTGGAACAGTATGTTAACAATTGGGGATTATTATGGTTACTTGTTTCCGGTAATGTTCTTATTCTATTTTTTCCCAGAACAATTACAGTTCCATTCTCTTTTAATTGAGTTGTGACTATTTACCTTGTTAACATTGTGACTTTAATCTGTGTGCTCTTAAATAGTTTTCTGCATTTGTTATGGAAACTCAAGATTATGATTTAGGATGATGTTTGAATAGGTTGTATATATGCTCTCTTTCTGAAACGATATATTTGAATAGGTCAATGGTGTATTGAAAGATTATGTATTCTTTGGATTGTAATTAGACATAGCCAAGGTGATTACAATATAGTTTATTTTTTGAGTTTTAGACTTCAGAGTGGGATTATTGTAATTTGCATAACATTTTATTAAAAAACAGATAAAATTTGTTCTCATGTTTAGTAATTCAAACTTAGCTCTAAAGTATAGAGTTAAAATGCAAAATGGATTCATGATGTAATCAATTTCTCTGTAGTATACACTATACAGTAGATCTTTCTCCATTCTCTGGTCTAAAATTTCTTGTTTTTTTGTTCTACTTCGTTTTATATGCTTTTAGTATATTGCCAAATCCAATAATTTGTGGAATTCTAAAGGGAACAACCTTTTGAAAATATTTTATAAGACACATTTTGAAGGAATCAACTTTGTATCTATGGCATGGAAAGAATGCTATACCCAACAAACTCATTCAGATAATCTGTGATGGCTAGATTGGTTATTTCTTCCTAGGGCCTAGATCATATCTAAAAGCACTAGAATATACAGTTTCCCTTGGTAAATTATGATTATTTAGGACATAATTGTCTTCTGGCTTACCTTTTGGCTATCCATCAAACTCGATAGTTACTTTTGCTTGTTGCTCTTGTGGACACTGATTTTATTTGCATTTGAACTTAAACTGTTGATATAATTGAGATTTTCTGTTTGCACAGAAGTACCACCCTTCAAGGGTCCTGACCCTTGTTTATCAACCCTTTGCTCTTGGGACAATCGCAATACTAGCATACCATGAGGCAAAAATTGACACCAGAAAACGCATTCTCTTTGGATATTCCCTTTTCTTCATCAGCACTTTTCTAGTTCTTGTTGTAAGTCCCTCTTTCTTTTTTTTTTTTTTTCTTTAAACACGCCCTCCCATCTTTCCCCCCCATAAATTTTAGTAATTATATTGATGTTTTATATCATTTATTTTCAAAGATAGATTTGGCCACGTCTGGTAGGGGAGGAATCGGAACATACATTGGGATATGCACGATTAGTGGTGCTTTTGGTATTGCAGATGCTCATGTTCAGGGTGGAATGGTTGGCGATCTTTCATTTATGTTACCTGATTTGGTTCAGGTTGGTTCTTATTGTTAACTTGTTTGAACCTTTCTAATCCTCCATATACTATAATTCTTATGATTTTTGGGATATAAAGTACACAAGTTTGGTGCAAACTTTTCAGTCTTTTCTTGCTGGTTCGGCTGCTTCAGGCGCTTTGACATCTGGGTTGAGGTTAATTACCAAAGCAATTTTTGACAATTCTAAAGATGGTTTACGTAAAGGAGCCAGTATGCTCTATTCCCTTTAATAATTTTTTTTTTTCATTTCTAGAGTGCATTTGGCCTGTAAATTTTGCCTTTTAAACTTAACTTTTGATTCAATACTTGTAACAAATTGAAACAGACATGCTAAAATTGTGTTGCTCTCTCAATTGCAGTTCTGTTCTTTTCAATCTGTACAGTCTTTGAGCTTCTTTGTGTCCTTCTCTATGCACTTGTCTTCCCTAAGTTAGCGATTGTAAAATATTATCACAACAAAGCAGCTTCAGAGGGTTCAAAGACTGTTGCTGCAAATCTCGCTGCTGGTGGTGTTATGATAGAGGTTGTACGAGAAATATTCTGTCTTTAAACAATTTTTTTTCCCAGATAATAAAAGCAAGTGCAAATCATCTATTGCTCTAAGATTTTATTTCATTGTCGCAGACCCCGAATGACCCTATGCTGCAGGCGAATCGACTAAGCATCAAAGAGTTATTGATGCAGAACATAGATTATGCACTCGGTATCTTCATGATATATGTATTGACATTGTCGATTTTTCCTGGATTCTTATCGGAGGACACTGGATCCCACGGCTTAGGGTCATGGTAAGCTTTAATACATGCATGGAATACAAATGAGTCTTATGGTTGAGTAATAATGTTCTGATAAATTTGCAGGTATGCTCTTGTCCTGATAGCTATGTATAATGTGTGGGATCTGATAGGGAGATATTTGCCACTCCTGAAATGGGTAAAGCTTGAATCAAGAAAGGGGATTATGGTGGGCATCCTCTTGCGCTACATGCTCATCCCAGCTTTCTACTTCACGGCCAAATATGGTGACCAGGGATGGATGATTATGTTGACCTCCTTCTTGGGCGTAACCAATGGCTACCTAACTGTCTGTGTCTTCACTTCTGCTCCAAAGGGGTACAAGGTTAGTTGATTCTATAACAAATTAAAGGGGTAGCCTAAGGCATAGGGCAATCGAGTTTGAACTCCATCCCTAATTCTCAATATACAAGTAAAAGATGTTTGGTTCCTTGCCCCACAGAACTAGCTTAGTTAGTTCAATGATTATTCTAAAGCCTTACTTTAATACGAATTTCACTGGTAATCTAAGACTTGAAGGGCCATTGGGAGACTTTGACCGATCATAAGTGTAGCAAGTAAGGCTGACCTTGAATAAGGGCAGGTTGGGCCTTGCTCATGACCCATGTTTGGAAGGATCACGGGTCACCCACCCTATCCCCTTCACACTATAGTATATATTTATAAGTAAATAATATAAATATAATTAAGTAAAGATAAAGTAGCTTAGTTGGTAGACCACATGATTATGACACAATTTTTATGAATTTTCTCCTTGCATTTTAGAAAATAAAATCTTAATTTGTGAGATTTATTTATAATTTTAAAATTTATTTATAACTACTAAATATTTTAGTACTTATATTTATAATAACATGTGTTATTTTGTTAGCTTTTATAATGAGTTATATGAATTGTGAAAATTATTTAACATTAATTAATTTATATGGAATATAGTTTGTGATTCAATTATGAAAAAATAATTTACTTTACTTTTTTAATGAATCATTTAGCTAATGTAATACAAAAGTTTATATTATGTGTCATCATATTCAAGTTACTATAGAAAAAAAATTAAAATTGATATAACTAAAAGAAAAAGTATTTATAAAAATTATATGAATATATAAAAGTAGTGTGATTTATAACGTTTTCTATTTGAATTATTTTATCTAATTAATTATATTTTATATTTTGTTATTAATATTTTTTTTTATCCGTTTTGAAGTATTTTAATTTTTTTCTCCCAATCTAAAAGATTTTTAGCTTTATCTCTGTTTGTAAGTTTTGTTTTATAAATTTTTATTAATAATTAATTTATTAGTTATTATGATAACAAGGTTATTGTTTGTATGCTTATTTGATTTTATTAAATTGTGTACTATAATTATTTATTTATGAAGACACTGTTTTTTTTTTTTTTTTTTTTTTTTTTTTGCATTTAGGAAAGCATCTAGAATTTTTTTTCATGAATTATTATTTTGTACGTAAAATTGTTAAAAACGTGTGAACTTATTTCAAGTTATTTGATATTAGTATTTTTTTCTTATATAATTTAAATTTTAAATATGTGAATATATATTAACTTCATATATAAAACTTATCTTTTTACTACACTCTAGACCTATAAAATGATAGGATCGGTAAGATCGGACCTGAGTGCAACGAGTCGGAACCTAGGGATTGGAGGGGATGTTTGGTTCCTGATAGAACTTTGCGTCCCAAAGGAATCATTATATATTTTTATTGTACTACTATAGTACTATGTATGATTCTGATGGGAAATGTGGGTTTCCTGTGCAGGGGCCAGAACAAAATGCATTGGGGAATATACTAGTGTTGTTCCTTCTAGGAGGCATATTTGCTGGTGTCACTCTCGATTGGTTGTGGCTCATCGGTAAAGGGTGGTGAAGAGGCATGTTTTGGGTTATTAAATGTAGATACTTATATTCTTTTGAGCAATTATAGTTCGACTACAGAAGATCAAATTTGCTTTAGAGTGTAAATGTTTCATAATTTTTTTATGAAATATGTATTCTACGATAGAAATCTATTATCTTAAGCGGGATAATTTAACATGTCAATTTAAACTTCTTTTTTTAATTAAATTTTGACAATTTTTTTTTTTATCTAACTTCATGTATGAGAATTTTCTTCTTTTAGGCTCTGTTTTAAAATTCAGAAAATAATTTTTGAAAAAAGAGTTAATTTTCAAAAAATGTTTTCACAAATAAATAGGTTGATCACACTTTATAATTATTATTGTCGATATTTAATTTAACCCGAAAACTTAATAAGAATGTTAAAAGATGTTAGGAATCAGATATTTCTCCCAATTTATCTGCAGATTGCATCTTTGATGAAGATCATTATCTAGTATTAGGGGGAGATTAGAGCCCACATTTAATGAAATATCGAGAAATTTCATGGGATGAAAAATATATTCAATACCTAGATGCTCATACTAGTCAAACTGAATTGGAAGTTTGCAAATTTAGCAAATAACGTTTCTTTTATTGATTTAAGAAAAGTGATTATGTCTTATAATCTTGTTGGGAATGCTCCAATGAACTGAGTACACATACTGATACCCCCATTGCCAGAAGCATGGGAGACTTGTAGGTGCAAAAGAATTAGTAAAAACTCAGTGAACCTGCATGTGCTCCATATAATATTAACATTGGGGATGCAGAACATCCAAATTAGAATAATGTAGGAAATGACAATGGTTTTGTTGATGTAAATATAGAAACTGTCATACACTTTGTTGATACATGAGAAACTTATAAAAGAGATTTAACCGTCGTTGATGACACATTTGCCTGCGCGATTTCCTCTAAAGTATCACGTGATAATCTAGATCCAGAACCAAAATCAATAACAAAGTGCTAGAAGCGCTCTGACGGGTTAAAATGGAAAGAGACAATTGAGGCAGAGCTTAACTCGCTTAATAAAAAGAAAGTGTTTAGTCCCACCGTATTTACTCCGAGAGGTGTGATTCCAATATGATCTAAATGAGTGTTCGTATGGAAGAGGACGAAAACAATGAGATGGTTAGATATAAAACGAGATTAGTAGCTCTAGGGTTTATGCAAAGACCTAAAGTTGATTTGAGCAGACATATTCTCCTATTATTGATGGCACTTCGTTCTTCTATTTGATATCACTGGCAGTAAAATAAAATTTGTATATGCAGTTGATGGACGTCGTGACCACCTATTTATATGGATCACACACACACACACACGAAGGTATTCAAAATCCCAAAATGAGGGAAAGGAATGATCGAAACATGTATAACATCAAACTACAATAGGTCATTATATGATTTGAATCAATTGGGTAGAATGTGATATAACCGTCTAAGTGAATTCATCTTGAAGGAAGGATATGTAAATGATGAGATTTGTCCATGCAACTTTATTAAGAAATCATCAGATGATTTCTGCATTATATCTATTTATGTCGATAACATAAATGTTGCTGGGACACAAAAGGATCTTATGGAAGCCTGTTCATGTTTAAAAATGAAATTTGAAATGAAAGACTTGGGGAAAACCAAGTTTTGCTTCGGTTTGCAAATCCAGCATTTTCCTGAAGGAATTTTTGTACACCAGTCCAACTACATAAGCAAATTATTGGAGAGATTTTTTATATAGATAAATCACATCCACTCAGTACTCCAATGGTAGTCCGATCCCTAGAAGTGGATAAGTACCCATTTAGGCCTAACGAGAATGGTGAGGATATTCTAGGACCTAAAGTTCCTTACCTAAGTACTATTGAGGCTCTACTCTATCTTGCCAATAAGACTAGGCTGATATTTCCTTTTCAATGAATTTACTAGCAAGGTTGTGCATCTCCAACTAAAAGACATTGGAATGGAGTAAAACATATCCTCAGATATCTCCAAGGTACAAAAGATCTTGGTCTCTATTTTGAGATAAACCAGAATATTACATTGGTGAGTTATTTAGATGTTGGCTACATGTCTGATCCCCATAATGTCAAATCTCAAACTGATTATGTTTTCCTTTGTCGAGGCACAACTATTTCGTGAAGATATGTTGAGGTCACTGATACATCATATCAAATTATCAATAGCTCGTGCGGTATGGAAAGCAAAGATTATATTCCTACTATCCTGTATGAGGACAATGCAGCATGTGTTAGACAGATAAGTAATGGGTATATTAAGGGGAACCTTATAAAACACATTGCATCTAAGTTCTTTTATCTACATGAACTCCAGAAGAGTGGCAAAATTTTTGTTCAGAAAGTTCGCTCGAGTGACAATCTGGCAGATCTGTTCACCAAGTCCCTGTCTACATCCACCTTTGAAAAATATGTTCATAAAATTAGGATGCGTAGACTTGGAAGATTGTTGCCTTCAGGAGGAGCAACAATCTCTAGATGTTCTTGATCGATTGGTCTAAAAGGTCATCATAATCCTGAAGATTAAGCCCTGAACGGATTTTGTTGTACTCTTTTTCCCTTAGTTAAGTTTTTGTCGCCGAATATTTTTAGTCTAAAGTTTTTAATGGGACAACCAATGTAACACGTAATTATACATACATCATGTACTCTTTTTATTGACTAGGTTTTTCTCACATGATTTTTCTAATAAGATTTTTAGTGATGCATTATTATGTAGAGATAATGTCGAAGGGGATTGTTATGATTATTTCCAATGTATGGCCATTATCTTAGTGGTTAGTTATTTTCCTAGTTTTCAGGAATATATACCTTGTATGAACTATTCTTTTTTTATGTAATAAATGAGAAACTCCGTGTATCTTTCTTATCTATTCTATATTCTAGTTTTTCATTTTTTTCTTCTGTTTTATCACGTATTGGGTAACAAGATTTTCACCAAAGGATCAACCAAACAAAGAAAAACGTAACAAGACTTTCACCGAAGATCAACTACGAGAAAGAACATTTAATTTAGAACACATTGAGATTAATTATTTAATAAAATTTCTCATTTTGGATAGTTTCCACTCTTTACCTTCTTTTGAGGAAGTTCCCACTCTGCCCCTTAGCAAGCAAAACCAAACCACTTAAAACACCTTGAGTTTAGACAACTTGCTAAGAACATTAATCTCTTTCCACTCAAAACTCATATTTGAAATGATAACTTCTTAAGGTTTTTTATGAGAACAATAAAATTATTAATTGGAATAATATGTGCATACACTGCAATTCATTAACATTAATATACAATTTCTCGAGTTGTTGTAGATAAGCAAGATTCTCAATGTCATTCCTGCATTGTATATTTGTATTCTTTCACCTCATCCAACCCTTCTTTAGATGACAATAGATAAGGCGGAAATACCTTGCAAGTTTTGATGAATAAATTTGGGAGGATGTCCACAAATAACATGACAATAAAAATATTGTAGTTTTGGACACCCCAAATAGTTTCTCTTATCATCTATATAAATAGAAAGTATTTAAAGATTCCAAGTCCAATTTTGTTAAAATCTCTAACTATTGAAGATATGTATTGCAAATGAACAAGATCCACAACGTGCCAACACAATATTAAGCATATAATATATAAATTACAAATGCAAAGTTAATTATCATTTTAAACTTTGAGTTGAGACGGAACACATCTTTCATAAAAACTTACAAGAATTAAGGTTTTATGTCAACCACTTCATCAAAGCTCTTATTCTCATATGTCTTTACAAGTCATTCAGCAACCCAGAACTCATTATCATCTGAAAAATTACCCCAATATAAAAAACAAGCTTTCAAATTGAGGCAAGTGATTATAACTCAATGAGAGTATTCTTGAACATTCTTCATCAATAGCAATTGTTGAACACAATTTAGAGTTCCAACAATATTCTTCTAGTGTGTTGAGTTTGGAAAATAAACCTATTACTACAACAATTGCCCAAGACAATTCTATGCATTTCTCAACAATTGATCTCCCAATTGCTCCACATTCTAGATCCCAAGATTTATATGTTTTTCATAAAATAAATCTCCAACTCTCATTTTGATATGAGAAATGCATTTGATCGAACAATCAACAATATTCTACTATCATTTCAATCATTTGGGAAACAAACTTTGACACCATCTCTCATATGCCTTTACAAGTCCTTCGGCAGTCCATAACCTTGCATGATTATTATCATAAAACTCTTTCTCCTATAAAAAAGACCCCAATATAAAAAACAAGCTTTCAAGTTGTGAGCCAAGTGATTGTAACTCAATGAGAGTATTCTTGAGCATTATTGTTGGAAGATGAATTAGAGCTTCAACAATATTCTTCCACTCATCTAGTGTGTTGAGTTTGGGAAACAAACTTCGACATCATCTCTCATATGCCTTTACAAGTCCTTCGGCAGTCCATAACCTTGCATGATTATTAGCATAAAACTCTTACTCCACTGAAAAATACCCCAATATAAAAAACAAGCTTTCAAGTTGTGAGGCAAGTGGTTGTAACTCAATGAGAGTATTCAGTGGTTGTAACTCAATGAGAGTATTCTTGAGCATTATTGTTGGAAGATGAAGCATTATTGTTGGAAGATGAATTTAGAGGCTCCAACAATATTCTTCCACTCATCTAGTGTGTTGAGTTTGGAAAATAGACCTGCTACCACAGCAATTGCCAAAGACAATCCTTTGCATTTCTCAACAATTGGTCTCATAATTACTCCAAATTCAACATCACGAGATTTATATGTTCTTTCACCAAATAAATCTCAACTCTCATTTTGATCTAACATTAGTAGAGTTCTTATGCTAAGTCCTCATCACTGCCGTTTTCTACCTTATTTGATTCATTTCCCATTGATCTAAGAAGATCCTAACCCATTTGTCACTTATTATGAAGTTGTGATGCAACAACAACTCACACTCTCGTGTGTAAGTGAGAAACAATTGATGGATCTTCAAAAATTCACATAACTAAAGCTGACTTACCAATTCCTCCCATACCAAAAATGAAAAAAACTTGTGGTTGCTCGGATGGATTTCCACTCTGCATCTCCTTAACAGTCTTGAACTCAACCATTAAGTCAGCATGCCGGTAGGAACCACCCATCATAAAAGCAGCTTCACCGTACTTTGAAAAAGCATCAACCACAGTCTTCCTTCCTTTAACCAACTCTTCCTGGATCTCATCTTCAACTGCTTTCTGCAAAATATGACGAGAAAGCCAAGCTATTCTGAGATCCTCTTCCTGCTCGCGTAGATCTGCTACTTGGAACTCCATTTCTTCTTCAACCTTGAGATCTAAATCTCTCAGCTTCGTTTCCAAATGTCTGATTGCATCAAAACTATCCATTCAAGAAGAGATGAGATTTTGTGGAACCGGACGAGGCTGAGATCGCAAGAACTCTAGATCTACAAGAGAAGCTACAGCCATTTTGACTATTTTTTGCTGGGTGTGATATTTCAATTGAAGGCACCAGAACTCCACAAGCATTATCTACTGGAATTGCTTTAGGGCATTGTTTAGACGTCACCGTTTTGTGGGCTAGATATTCGATGCATGGAATAACTCAGGGCATTGTTCAAACGGCACCGTTTTGTGGGTTAGATATTCGATACATCGAACAAAACAATTTATTCTTTTTGAAAGTAAGTATAAAGGAATACCTTCAAAAAAATAGTAATATAAACGAAGAAACAAAACAACAGAGGGCGCTCACCAAAAAAGAAAAAAACTACAGAGGCCAATTCCAAAGTCTGACAGTACATACCACTAAAATATACTTTTTTTTTTTTTTTTTTTTTTTTTTTTTTTTTTTTTGTAAACCACACAATGTGGTCTAGGTCCAAGGCACAAAAACTGACCTAAAGAGAATCCTCACTTGTGGGATCTAAATTCGAATTATCCCAGAATTCTCCCACACAATAGAAATTGAACTCAAAGTTATTTCAAAATTCCCTCCACAAAGAAAGTCTATTTGTCACTTGAGCTATCCTCCTGTTGAGTTATTGCTAAAATATCTCTGTAATAATATACGGAGTAATATATAATAATAAAAATAAAATAATAATAATAATAATATTATAATGGCATATATAATTATTATAAGTGCGATTTGGACCACACAGCGATAGGTTGTTTTATTTTTATCGAAGCTAGGCTTAGATCTGTAATAGGAATAGTTAAGAGCAACCCAACAACACGTTTGATTTACATAATAGCCTTAAATAGAATGACAATTTTGTGAATAGGTCTATTTTAGTATGTGTTAGTGCATTTTATTATCAGGAATATTATTTTCAGGAATGAGTTATTCATTGTGTAAGATAAATAACTATTCTAAGGGATTTCGTGGTATTAGGTTATTCCTCAGTTCTCAAGAATAGCCTACATGTTTGTTGTTTTATTCTAGATTAATGGTCGTTTGAAAATTTAGAAAATATTTTCTAAAAAATAATTTTTAGGAAATGACTCATTTCTGGAAAATATTTTAATTTTTTGGTATTTAACTGAATGCCATAAAACTATCATTTTATATTTAGCTAAAAGTTAAGAAATTACATTTTTTCTTGTTTGGTTATTTTTTTTTAAATGAACATATTATTTGTTATAACAACAACAATATAATAATAATATGTGATGGTGTGATAGTATGTGGTGGTGGTGGTGGTTGCTGTGGCGGCGACGGCCACAGTGGTAGTGACGGTAGTTTCGTGGTCGTAGTGGTGGTGATGATAGTGAATGAAAGTGAATTTTCATTTTGCAGAAAATTGACTTCTATGACACACATTGTGAAATGACAATGCTACTAGATACTAGAATTAGAAAACACGCAAAAATATAATCAAATCATTTACAAGTCAAGTGCATATAACGATCGCATATAGATAAACAAACAAAAGTAATCAAGATCAATACAAACACAAAATTAAAAAAACAATTGAAGAAACTTGAACTCAAGGATATGTATAATCATCTAGATGCAAGACACAACCTATACAATTTGGGAAAATCATGCCAACCAAGGGATTTTTTTTTTTAATTTTTTATCAAAAGGAGGGCCGGTCGGTATCTTATAAAAGGAGTTAATACCCAAAATAGTCCCTCGACTATGTCGTAATTACCAATTTGGTCATCGACTATCATTCTTACCCAATTAAGTCCTCAACTATACAATTTTTACCCAATTTAGTCCTTTGTCAATTTGACTGTTTGTTGACTGTCAAAAGTGGAAATAAAGTTGTAATTTTACAAGTTTTCTCCTTCCTCCTCATTTAGCAGCGTCAAACCATGTAGCAATAAGCTCCGGTTGGGTTCTAAACCTGTCAGTATCGAAGTAGTGGTTATGCATCGGATAGCCCATGAATTTGATTTCCAACAATTTTTTGACGATCGAAATCTGATCGGAGTGTATTGCTGCATGATTTGGCGCTGCTAAATGGAGAGGAATGAGAAATCTTGTAAACTTATAATTTTATCCCGATTTTTGACAGTCAACAAACAGTCAAATTAATACAGAGGACTAAATTGGGTAAGAATTGTATAGTTGAGGACTAAATTGGGTAAGAATTGTATAGTCGAGGACTTAATTGAGTAAAAGTTACATAGTTGAGGACTTAATTGGGTAAGAATGGTAGTTGATGACCAAATTGGTAATTATGGCATAGTCGAGAGACCATTTTGGGTATTAACTCTTATAAAAGACATCCCTCCGAGATATCTCTCTCGCATGGTAAAGCACTTAAATCAAATAAAAACGCTTCTTTGACGTTGGGAGGAGGCTCCTCCCACTCAACCCATGTGATGTTGGAGGCCCGAGTATGCTTAGGCAAGGTGTCCACCACCACACGTTCTGTTCCCTATAGACATGATTAAACGAGATTTCCCTGTTTTTCTCCTTCCATATCCTGCATTTCTCAACAATAATGTTGTGCATGCATGAGACCTCTAGGCTTGTTCCTATCTTCAATCCAATCGATGAACTTCCGAATCATTTTGCACAATCAACTTTCTGAATCCCTTGCCCCGCGGTCATTCAATGCCCTTCAGTATATCCCAAGCTTCCGTCGTTGCCACCTTGGTAACGGGAACCATGCATCTTAAGGATTATACAAGGACTGGCTTGACATATTGCTTTAACTCTTTTTGTAGCCAAAATTTCTCCAAAGACGCACTAATGGGTGCAACGCTACACACTGACTAATTAAGACTACACAGTTTTGGAGTAAAATCTGATCATTTGCTCATATAGATCTAAGAGTTTGTATGGTATGACATATGGGAGTGATACAATGAGCTATTGAGAATGTGTCCTCACCATAGTTTGCCAAACTGAATGTAGGTTCAAACTCCCTAAAAGGGTTTGAACACTATTACTAGCTAGGTAGTTGATTAATGCAATCGTTGAGGTCAAATAATAACTTTAGTTTAAACACTAATTAAGGATATTAACCTTAATAAATATCAATGAAGTTCTATATACAGAGAAAAGTCAAGTAAGCAAAAGAGAGGTTTATGAGTTAAATATAGTGGCAAGCTTGGCAGCTCAAATAGAGAAATTGAGCAAAAAGATTGACAACATAATTACTCCTCAACACACCCTCTCAATGTAATGATGTTTTGTGATTAATGTATGTGAATCATGCAAGCTCATATTGTCATGATGACATGATATAAGATATATATATATATATATATATATATATATATATATATATATATATATAGTATTGCTAATAGAGCAAGTTGATTAATTATGTAATGGTGGAGGTTAGTCTCATGCATAATAATCCTTATAGTAGCAATACTTATAAACCTAAATGTGGAGACATATATATATATATATATATATATATATATATATATATATATATATATATATATATATATATATATATATAGTATTGCTAATAGAGCAAGTTGATTAATTATGTAATGGTGGAGGTTAGTCTCATGCATAATAATCCTTATAGTAGCAATACTTATAAACCTAAATGTGGAGACCACCTAAAATTCTTTTAGGGATGGAGGCACTAGTAATAAAGATGATATAATTAGCCTTCATGGTTTCATCAATCGTTATCACAATATTATCAGAAGAAAAGAAGTTCAATTTAGATGAAATTTTATCGAAATTCATGTAACTCTCAAGATGTAGAAATTTCTTTAAAAATATATATCAAGAAAGAATATTGAGGAACCAAGGGTGTTTAATTCATAAATTGAAAAGTCAATTAGATAGCTTGCTATAATGATGCTAAAAGCTAAGGGCAAAACACATATTTTCCAGTGATAAAGAAAAAAGGAATAACATGCATGTTCAATCAATGACCTTTTAAATTGGTAAGGAATTGTAGGTAAAAGAATCAAAAGTTGTAAATTTTGCAAATATAGAAGTAAGTGATACGACAAGTACCTTATGGCCTAGTTTGATGACATCGCTGTGATCCTTCTAAATGAAATGTCATAGGTTCGAGTCTCATTCCAATCAAGGATTAAGAATGTTGACATAACATGTTGAGCAAATACTGCAGATAGATTAAGGATGATGAAGTTATAGGTTATATAGTGGAGTATATATATGTCAACAACATTTCCCGTTTTAGGTAATGAGAAGTGAGACCACGCTATCAAACCATCTTGAGGAGGATGATGAAATTATATTTTATAATTATTGTTTGAAGTTGTTTCCAGGTAAGTTCAAGTCAAGATGATCTAGGTTATTCATTCTTATGTGAGTCTTTCCATATGGCATTGAGATAACACATCCACATAGAGGAATATTCAAAATTAATGACCATAAACTAGATCATTACTTTTGGGGTAAGGTAAATGGATAGAAATATCAAAGTCATGTTTCTTCACTACACTGTGTTGATGTTTAATTGATGAGTGACTAACTCTAACATCATGGTAGCTACCTTAAATAAAGAGTTCATTCGAAGACAATCCAATTTATTTTTATTTACTTGCACTTACATTTATTTCTAGTTTGTTTTTTTTTTTAAATTTTTTTTTTCCCTTAGTGGTTAAATAAGTCAAAATTGATTGATAGACTAACTATTTCACCAAATAGGACCAAAATATTACCTATGATATGTTGCATGAACTTTGCTGACTTTTTGAGCTACTATCTCATTACTTAATAAAGCATGTCGAAAGTATGTGTGTAATGTTCTAGTATATTGAACTTATTTATAATATTTTATTTTTACATTTTTCACATAGTTTTCATTGTACCTTGTAGTATGAAAACTACAAAATGATTTTGATTTTCTTTTTATGATAAACCAAAAATACATAAAAAAAAAATGCTATGTGATTAGGTATGTAGGAAAGTATTCATATAAAATCTATTATTTAGTTGTTTTTTAATAGTGAATGTTAATGAAATTAGAGATTAATGTGATAGTGGAGTTACATTTTAAAGTAGTAATGAAGACTATTTGAGAAGGTGTGAAAGATAGATGGGTAAAGCCATCACTTTTTACTTGATTGCATGTCGTTGGTAGCGTGGTATTTTATATATTTTGAGAGAATGTAATAATAGTGTTGATTAT